ATGCCACGTGTGGAGTAGCAGGGATGCTATGTGGTGTGTGGAGTAGCAGGGATGCTATGTGGTACGTGGAATAGGTGGATGCTCTACCACATGCAGGGTTGGTACACCTCAGTGATGCTATGCCACGTGTGGAGTAGCAGGGATGCTATGTTGTACGTGGAATAGGTGGATGCTCTACCACATGCAGGGATGGTATGGTGCTTTTTCAGATGTGGAGTGGTTGCTATGCGACGCGCAGTGATGCTAGTTGGTATAGGCTATACATTTATGCCACGTGCAGGGATGCCCATTGGTTCATGCTATACGCCTCACCGGTGCTATGCCGCATGTGGAGCAGGTGGATGCTATCCCACGTGCAGGGATGCTAATTGGTCTTGGCTATACATCTCACTGGTGCTTTCCTCCCCCCTCCTCTCCCCCCCCCCTCTGTTCCGGTATGTGAGATAGGCAGAGTGGTAGAGTAGGAGGTTGGGCGTGGAGGCCAGAGTATGAGCGACTCACCTGCAGACTTACCTGCCGCCATAGCTCCTGTTCGTCTTCGGGCGTCTACCACCTGCGTCACAGCTCGAAGGAGACACCTTTACGAGCGTAAAGGTGTCTCCTTCGAGCTGTGACGCAGGTGGTAGACGCCTGAAGACGGTCAGTATCTGGTCTCTTTGAGCGTAAAGGTGTCTCCTTTACGCCCGAAGACGGTCAGTATCTGGTCCCTTCGAGAGACTTCGAGAGGATTCTCCTTCTTCATGTCCCTCCAGCTCCATCACTTCTTTTTTCCTCCTTCCTCCGACTCTTCTTCTTCTTGCTTCTGTGTGTGTGTGTGTGTGTGCGTGTGTGTGTGTGTGTGTGTGTGTGTGTGAGAGAGAGAGAGAGAGAGTTGAGACGTGGTGACAATGGATTCAGACCGACATTTGGACAAGGGCATTGGGGGACTATTTTTGGAGACTTCATGAGCGACATTTGTTGCACACACACACACACAGAGGCACTCTCTCTCTCTCTCTCTCTCACACACACACACACACACACACACACACACACACACACACACACACACACACAGAGGCACACACATGTGACATATAGCGGGTGTGCACACACACACGCATGCCATTGGGTATCCATGGCTTAGTGGGTGTGCGGAGTGGGTTTATGGCTGTGACAGATGAATTTGTCAGACTTACTGTCATTCTTGTCAGGGGGGGTTTGAATCAGCAGTCTGCTAGGTGTGGCATACTGAGCATCCACACGGGCCTGCAGGGCCCGACCAGATGGAAAATAAGGGCCCGCCAGGCCCTGTGTCGTTTCAGCCTAAAAGCCTGAAAAAGAGGGCCATTTTCAGGCCCTCATAAAGTCGGCACCCTGCAGGCTGCAGGTAGGCATAGGGACTTCACCGACAGTTCACAGGCACTTCACGTGCGTTCAGGAGGCAGTCTTCAGGAGTTGGCCGCAGCACTCTGCAGGAGCGCTGCAGTAGTAGTAGCTAGCGCTAGAGTAGTCTTCAGCGCTGGGTGCTGCTAGGAGGTAGAGTAGCGTTGGGAGAGAGAGAGAAAGGCTGAGGCCACCATAGCTCCAGCTTCGTCTTCGATGTACCTGCAACAAGGCGCCACCTTCACAGGTTAGTACTTGGTACAAGAGGGAGAGAGAGAGAGTTCTTCTTCTTCCACCCTAAGTCCACCATCTCTCCCTCACCCTCTCGCCACCTGACTTCTCAGTATCTGCAGACTACGAGAGAGAGAGAGAGAGAGAGAGAGAGAGAGAGAGAGAGAGAGAGAGAGAGAG